TAGGCAGCTGTTCCTTTCTTGAGGAGGATCGGCGTTTGATGTCAAGCATTGACATTAGTGTGCAGGCTACGACAGGTTTGGGCCGTCTCATGTATAGGTTGCCGACTGCTGCATGTAGAGATATGGGATCTGGTGGAGCTGCTTCAGATTTTAGGGTACGTCGGATGTTTGGCTACCCAGCACCTGGTCACATCGTGGATGTGAGATTTGATCCGATAGCACATTTGGGATTCAGAGGCGTGTTTGATTATCAGGTATTGGCTTCTGACTTTGTTCTGAGCAGGTATGTCATGTTTGACTCTCGGCAGGTGGAGAGTGGTGATCAGATCTTTAGGACATCACAGCGGGTGGAGAGTGATGCTACTCCATGTTGGGTGGAAACTCCAGATCATACTGCATCATTTGGGATTCCAACTGATGTGACACAGATTGGGAATCATATTGATTTGGATGCAGATGATAGACTGATTGATTTGAGTACAGCTGATAGATGTAGTCTGGATATGGCTATTGGTTCATCTCAGGTGGAGATGTTTGGATTAGTTCAGTTTGAGGCCATTGGAGGTGCTATCAGCCGCAGACTTGATCGTGATATTGGAGAAGGGTTGCGAACTTTTCTAGTGGATTGAGGCTTTTCGAGGCCATTTGGGTGAACTACGTTCGGCTTGATTCCTTGGGCAAGAGGTTACGTAGGTAGTCTTTCAGATGCAGCCGGTTTGATCAGTTGATTCAGATGGGGGGGGGATCGTGTTTCAGCTCTAGATTGGTTTCCTGACTTGTTAAGGGACTATTGGATGATTTGGTGTCGGCTCAGTTTTGATGGAAACATTCGCCGAGGTGAAGAATTGAAGAATTACAGAGAATCAGGAAAAATCAGCAGAGAGTTCGTTTTCTAAGTTATATATATCCCTAAACCTGATTTGTTAGGGTGATCTCAAGGACGAATTTGAGCAGTCTTTGAGAGAGGATTGTTGCATCCAATTGTGGGAGAGTTGTGAGAGATCAAGAGCTTTGTTTTAGGGTTTGATCTGAGAGATTTGTAACTCTACTTGTATTCTCTGATTTCTTATAGTAAGAACTCCCCCCTCCTTGCCCCGTGGACGTAGGCAACTTGCCGAATCACGTAAATCTCTTGTGTTATTTGGTGATTGTGCTTGTTTATTTGGTTGTGATCTCTCTTGTTCGGATTGTGTGATTCGACCGCTTCCGCGCCGCGCACAACACTCTTAGCACTAGATCCGGAAGGATACGGATTCAATTAACTGTTTTGAATCCCCAACAGATTATTCAACATGCAGTGGAAGGAAGGATCACATGAGGGAGCAAACAGAAAATATACTATATTAGTATCTTCCTTCTCTAATTTTTCTAATTAAGAATAAAAAAATATCATGTTAGCTTTTTATCTTTTTCCTCACTTCCCTCAATAAAATTACAAGAACGCAAAAAAATTTATGAAGTGTTTCCTCTAGTTTTTTTATTTTTGAAATTTCCTCCTTTTTATTTCTCCCGTTCAATTTACTTTTTGGCATCCTAACGCTCAGCATGACGCTCCTTTGAGGTCCACAAATTGCTTGGAGTGAGACCTTTTATCTCTCTAGCTAATTGTTGGATCTATCATGTCTCACAGATCTAGACAATTCCATACAAGTTAATTTTCTTATAGTACCAAAGTAATACCAGATTTATACACGGGCGATATATTATTAGCGACCTAAAAGTTCTAGGACTAAGGCTTTTTCGTTGTTGTTGTTGTTTAGGCAACATATAACTGAGACAAATGATAAATACACCTCTTGTTGGCACCAAATGGTTTTAAATCTCTCCTTGCCATGGCCAACAATTTATTTTTAATTTTATTAATTATCATGTTCTTTTACATATCCTTCATAAGCAAATATTAACCTATAAACCTGAGTTTTTTTGTGCATTCAATCCCTCTGTTCATCCCTGAAATAGGTTTCAATGGTCTCATTATCAAACTTTTGGATCATATATATCACATGGTAATTGAAGAATAACAATTTGGACCACTAACCCTCACTCGCTTTTCTCGTCATTAAAAATTGGATAATACACTTTTAGACCAGGTAGCTGCCGACCCTTTTCTAAAAGTCTTTACAACTGAGATTCGGTCGCAGACTCAGATTATATATACACCTCAATTTCTTGACTCCCTATTTATATATCCATAAATATATTCATTTCTTTAAGTGATGCCATGCATGTATCTAACACATCCCCCTCAACTTTGTCCCTCAAGAACATCTAATCCTAATACAATCTGTGCTCAGACCATGTTAATTGTAGACGGCTAAAAGCAAGCTTACATCAGGTCTTAACCTATTACACAAGGACACATGAACATATTAACGAGAAATTTCTAATGAGGAAATCTTCGTACAAGATGAAGTCAAATTTTGACAAAGGTAACGTGACACAATGAAACTCTAGGAACGAAATAAAATAAGTCTAGTCTTTTGCTAGTCTCTAATTTATCATCCAACATTGAGATTACAGCTAGGTCTAGTTGGATATATATTTGGGGTTTTACCATGTGGATAAGATGCAACTGTTTTGATGGTACTTACAAAAAAATGAGAGACCCACATTGGGAAAGGATAAACTCTTTACAGCCTACACTCAGATCTCATTATGAATTTCTAAGTTGATATATATCAGGGTCTACTCTTAAATATTTAGGTGCCTATCTTGAATTTATACGTTAGGTGACCTAACGTGTTAAAGGTGGAATTGTCCTGATTATAGGGAGGTCTGGGTTTTATTTGTGAATATATTTTGTTGCTTGCGACAATTATTATCGCGTTTCCTAACGGCTAATCCACATGGAATCTCATGAACATTATTATTATTATTGTTATTATTTTGGTGAGAAGAAGAAAAAATTTTATACTTAATCCAGCACTATGCAAAATACTGAAGGAAATTGGTACATGAGTGGCTGACGAATACTGAAAAATGGGAAGAGAAGGTCCCGGCCTGATTGAAAGTGTTCCTAGAAGAGAATCAACTCAATCCACTTCTATGTAAAAAGAAGGGGGAAAAGAAAATGAAAAACTATGTCTGCAAGCTTGGGATGATGTGGTTCCCTACGTTATACCACAGCATCTTTCAAAATGTATGAGTCAAACCAATGAGTGAATCATAGACCAAGGGTATTAAGAGGGGGTTTGGGAGGCTTATTTCTTTTTAAGTAGCTTTTGAGCTAGGTTTTTGTATATCTACATGTTTGGTAACATCCCAAAATAATCTAGCTTTTACTTAAAGAAGTTACGGTTCCCAACTAAAACTAGCTGATAAGCTCAACTAAATAATTAATTAAGCTAGGCTTAGCCAAGCAAATGATTATCATCATATCCAAAAAAAGCTAACGTAACCTAATAAAAATGAGCCTCCCGAAAGGCTTCTAAGAAAAGTTTTCATTAGTGGTTAATATTTAACTGTACCACAATATGAATTTCGATGGAATTTCATTTGGTAATGTAATTTAACAACTTTAAGGATTGAGGGGCGTGAATTAAGAATATGAAAATTTGGTGATCTACTGTAAAAATATAATTGAATTTAGAGCTAATATGAAAAAAAAATCATGTTTTAAATAAAATTCTGATGATGGAAAAACCAAGAAAAGAAAAGAAAATAGAGTGATCAAAATAAAGGACAGAAGTTCGATCGTATATGCTCCCCTTAAATTGTTTGTATTTGTAAAACTAACCCGTAAATCTCTGATTTACAAAACCGTCCTCTCAATCAAGGATCAAGCTAATATATGATTACAATATAAAATTTTCAACAAAACAGTCAATTGTTATTCATCATGCCCAACAAAGTTGTTGACTTAGGGGTATTTTTTTTTTCCAAAATTGATGATTTAGGAGAGTTTTGCAAATACTAAGATTTGAGTATAGTTTTGCAAATATACATGATTTAAGGAGTATATATAATAATAAAAAACCCAAATAATGCTAGAGGAAATGTTTCACGATAGGAATTGCCTAGAGAAGGTGAGAAACAGAGAAAGGACATCTTCTAGTCTAAAAAGAATCTTGACTTACTAACAGTAGACAAATTCGATATTAGAACTCTCATTTCTCGTTCGAGAACTTATTTCTGTTTTAGGGCTCAAAGAGGGTGATAACTAGAGGATCCATTCAGGGTATTCACCGAAAGGTGTAACCTTGAATTTGAATAGTATCAAAAGGCCATTCAACTCTTCATATATAAACTTCATTAGTCTCCTTAGTACTGTTCGGCAATGTGTCTTTTAAGAGGATGTCAGCGCAAACATCAGATATAACACAATTATAACGCAATAATGACGTGCCTTCATAAAAAAAAAATCCCCCAAAATGATATTCTTCGAAAATTCTCTATATTTGGAACCTTCGCCAATATTCTTTTACTAATGCATATATATTTGATAACCAAAAACAGTTTTGCATTCCTACTCAAGTTAATTTCCTTATTAATAACAAAAATGAAAAATAAAAACAAATTTAGACTACCTGTAAAATAGTAGTAGATTTAAATACTGGCATAAGCTTTTCCCTCAGAATTCACATGCCACTTTTTATATATCATAAACTTACCATCATTATTGAAATAATTAATCAAATTAACCCAACTCTATCATGCAACCAAGAAGGGGCCTAATTTATTTTAGTGGACAGCTTGGAATGATAACCCAAAGTTGACAAATTTTACACCTTTTTCTGATAATCTAGTCACTAATTATCATTTCTTTCTGCATTCACAAATAATTATTTCAAATAATCACAAATACACCAAAAAAATAACAAGCCAACGTACGACGTAGGCCCATTTGCTGATGGATGCACCAAATTTTAAAATCAAATTATTCTATTCCATGCAGGACAAAGAGAAAGAACCCTAGTCTTCAGCTCCCTTAAACTTATTTAATAAATTTCCCCTTTCCCTTAGTTTATTTCATTAAACATCCCAGACTCTCTATTAAGCTAGCTCCCAAGCCCCGGCAAGAAACAGAGCAAAGAACAAATTATTACAGTGAGAGCCATGGGAAGAGCTCCTTGCTGTGATAAAGCCAGTGTCAAGAAAGGGCCATGGTCGCCTGAAGAAGACGCCAAGCTCAAGTCCTACATCGAGCAACATGGCACCGGCGGTAACTGGATCGCTCTCCCTCAAAAGATTGGTATGTGATCAATCAAATCCTTCAAAACTTCATCGGTTAATTTTCTTTTAAATTCATGTTATAATTTAATTATGTTAATTAATTAGGCCTTAAGCGATGCGGCAAGAGCTGTCGCCTGCGATGGCTGAATTATCTTCGTCCCAATATAAAGCATGGCGGCTTCTCTGAAGAAGAAGATAATATCATCTGCAGTTTGTATATCAGCATTGGGAGCAGGTGATTTCTTAACAAAAAAAACTTAAAACTAATTTTGATTAATTAAGATTTAATGTAACTAATATCGTACGTGAGCAGGTGGTCTATAATAGCAGCACAGCTTCCAGGGCGAACTGACAATGACATCAAGAACTACTGGAACACAAGGCTGAAGAAGAAACTATTAGGAAACAAGCAACGCAACAAAGATCCAAATCCAAATCGTCGAGCTGGAGCTCTGAAACAAGAAGCTAGGAAAGAGGTTAACGGATCAAATCTTCAGCCGAATGGATACTGGCCCGACCCGTCCATGCCCATGTACCCAATTAGCCAGTCTGAGCATCGAGTCAGCGATGAGCACTCGTCCATCAGAAGGCTGCTGATGAAACTTGGAGGGAGGTTTTCGACTGAAACACAGATACCCTATGCTGTTCCAGCAGAACAACAGGTTTATGATGCATCGGCAGCCTTGGTGGCGCCTAATTCGGTTATGAATGAGGATTTGGCTGGTTCTAGTGGGTACAATTCGACTGAACTCGATGACATGTTCTGTAACAGTGTGAAGCTTGAAGGGCTCGATTGCTTTTATGGAATGGGGAATGTTATGGATGAGAGCAATGTGACCAGCTCATCGGACAATACTAACACTAATGCAAATTGGAATGAGGTAAGTCCTTTGATCAATTACCAGCCGATGATTAATCCGAGCTATTCATCGATGCAATCGTGTTTGTTCGAGGAATCAGTGCGTCTTGGTACACAGTGAGGATTGATTTTATTGTTCTTGTTGTTGTTTATATGGGGTGTGATTGAGAGATGCAGATTTGTAGTATTGGTGGTGTTCCATGGCAAAAACCCTAATACTTTAAACTCAATTATTGAGGGGGCGTTTGTTAATTATTGTATTTGTGTGTTAAAGTTGTTGATTTCAGCATTGGATACTATTTGATTTTTTTTTCTCCCCCGTTAGCATTGCGGACTGTTTGTTCTTGTCATATTTCAGTTTCTCAAACAATGGGCATCCCCGATGTAATTTTATACAAAAATAGGCAGCTTTTGTTACCATCTCATTAGGGAATAGTATTTTTTAGAAAGTTTTTATCTCAAGGGGTCCGGTTGGGAAGCACTGAATAAAATTAGGAGTCTTTGACAATTTTACCAACACCATTCTATTTATGTATCCATCTGAAACAAGTAGTAGGGGGGACCGCAAGTATTCATGATTTCTTCATAGGGATCCCAAGGGGATGCCTACAAGCTAGTCTAGGATACTAGGGTTTTTAAGTGCTATGGTTCCTGAAGAGTCTTTGCTCATGACCAATAGTGCATGTTAGGCTTGCCTCTGACCAAAATAAGGGAAAAGGTTCTCTTATCTAGGGGTGAGCACGGTTCGGTTCGGGTCGGTTTTTACCAAAATTTGAACAACCGAACCGAACCACCTACAATTCAAAACCGAACCGAACCATTGCAAATCGGTTCGGTGCGGTTCGGTTCGGTTTGTTCGGTTCTAACTTCATCAAGTATAACTTCACTTCAATTTATCTTTTATATATTCTTATTACCCTATGCCAGCATGTATTTATTTTTTAACTTCACTTCAATTTATTATTCTTGCTCATGTATGTATACTATTTTTAAGTGAAGTAACTTGTCCTTTTGGATTAAATACTAGACTCTGACGTTGTAATTTTTTAGTAACGGACTTGCTTTGTCTTTGGGTAAACAGGTAAACGGGTAGGGTTTGAGGCAAGGGAATATATTCGGTTGGTTCGGGTCGGGTCGGTTTGAAAAATTGTCAACCCGACCCGAACCGCCTTACTCATAAAACCGCTTTTTTCGGGTCGGTTCGGGTCGGTTCGGTCGGTTTTTTCGGTTTGAACCGAACCGTGCTCACCCCTACTCTTATCTTTTCTCTCTCTCTGAATTTTGCGTTGTTCTTGTTCTAGAACAAGAATAGTTGGTACTGAAGCTATTTTGATAGCAATTGTTACAAGAGCTTGAAAAATACACGTATTAATGTACACAACATTATGTTGGTAAATTTCAAAATCCTAGTTAGCTCTTTTAGTCCCACACAGGATAGAGTACAATCCTGGGTAACCTTATTTGTTCCCTTACAAAGGTTAACCTTTTTACATTTTGTTCTATTTTATTGATTTTTTTATCTTTATTTATTTATATATTTATTTTTTTTGATATATATGCCCTTTCTTATCTATGAGATTGTTGGCAATTATTGCAAAAGAATTAATGATGAACTATTCTTTCTTATCTCAGTTTAAAATTTGCCTTTGGCAATTAAAAATTTCAGAGTCTATTTCTTTCATTATACTTTAATTCCGAGTCATTTTTCTGCTAGATGCCCTCTATATGTAGTCTGAATACCTAGGAGATGAATATTTTCGCATTGCTTGATATACTTTGTAACAAGACATTACTCATAACAACTTGGAATCTTGCTAGATTAAATTAAGCTCAAGTTCATTCATATGAGTATCTTTAGTTAATTATTTAGGTTAAATTTTTATACTTAACAAAACTAGGTCAAGTTCTATGTGTCATATGTGATTGGAGAATATTGGTTAATCTCTTTAATTACGAAAACCTTAGAGGTGACTAAAACAGTTTGGCATGCTTTTATATTATTAAAGATGGATATATATATATAGTAGATATATGCATGGGCACATTTTTTTTAAAATATTTCTGTGTAGGGATCTGCTTGCAACTTGTTTTATCAAATGCATACATTGGCATTGTTGATCACATGATATTATAGTTACGTCCAGTACCTCATCATGCAACATAAACAGTATTGAACTAGAAGACCCACCTCACTAGAAACTTTCAAACACCTTCACACATATATATTTGCAGTCTTCACATTTTTCTCTCTCATTTCATTTGTTTTCATGGCACCTTGAATTCTTTAATTAATTTGTTCTTCCTCTATATATGTGAATTTGGTGGACTCATGGCGCATGAAGAATCTGAGCAGCCTGGACTCAATGTTAATGAAAGATGCTATATGATTACATCTTCCATGAGCATATGATTATAAATAAACTATAGCCATATCGATTTTACTAAGAAAATTGAACAATTGATATTTACATGAACAGGTAGAAATCCGAAGATATAATAAAAAGAGTTTGGAGAAGTGGATCTTAATTAACCAGAAAATCCAGTTATATAGCATTGCCTTAAGCTGCAAAATTTCATGTCCTGGTTTCCAATCACAAATTTGAGTGAGATCTATAATTAATTTAGGAATTATATTCTTTCTTCTGACAGGCTTTCAGAATTTCTCATGCATTGCAAATGCATCATCTTGTTAATACAATTAGCTTATATATCCATAGTGATTACAAATGATATCGAGTCTTATATTTTTAAGCCAATTGACCCATTTATTTTTTTACTCTTAAGGGGTTTGGATTGGAAGTCATGAATAAAAACTTGCATGTTTGTGTAATACACTCTCAGTTCTGTGATCCTGACTGTTTCTTAATTGCTTGCGATACATTTCTAATTGCACTAAAATGAATTCAAATTTGTATTTATTAGATGTCCTATCGAAAAGTCATGCATGTGGTTGCTAAAATTCTAAAATTCATTAATTTTTTGGTCGATAAATGTCATTAATCAGTACTATAATTAATTAAAAGCAGGCTAGAAAGTCTTAAGAGAATTAATTGCATTCTCTCCTTTGTTTCAACTGACTATACATATTTTGGATCTTTAAAACTTTCTCTTAGAAGGTCAAATTTTGCTGAATTTATATAAACTTTTCACATTCTGGGTGAGGATTATTAGTAGTTGTATGTCAGTAAGATGAATAGTATCCAAAAAAATTAAAAAAATAAAGATACCAGTAAGGGAAAACTAAGGGCCTGTTTGGATTTGTAAGGGGTGAAGGGAAGTTAAGGGAAACTGAGAGAAGGGAAGGGAAGGGAAGGGGAGGGAGTTCCCTTCCCCTTGGTTACACCCCAATTTGGGGGGGTAACAAATTTTATACTATTAGGGGGTGAACCAAGGGGAACTAGGGTGAATTAACTTTACCTCCTAAGTGTTCCCAAACAAGATGAATAGAGGTGAATGGTTCCCCTAACTTCCCTTCACCCTCATTCCCCTCAATCCAAACAAGCCCTAACAGTTAATAAGGAGTTTAGTTGTCCGAGGACAGAGTAAACGATGAAATATTTGAAAATGTGCAAAACAATATTTTACAATATTGTTCTACCAAATAACATTTTAAATTGAGAAGTCAACTGCATAACAGAACACTGATTGAGAAACTGTAAAGTCCTACAAGCAAAATATCTTATTGGTGGACTAAACCAAATTTTCAACAACATGCTCTCTCTCCTTCCACCACCCCCCCCCACACCCCCCACCCTCTGAATAATGGTTGGACTTGGGAAAATGCAGTACCTAACCCACTGCCTAATTTACTTCCAATTATATAAGACAATAAACGTTTCCTTTATCCCCCTGAATACATAATAGAATGAACCTTGACTCATCTCTTTGCTAATTGTTTATTTCTATCTGTAAATATAAGTCATCCGTAACAATAAGTCATCCTTTATTACAATTTAGTCAGAAACTTAGGTAAGGCAAGTTTGATCCTATATATAAATTCTAATACAACAATTTTTCTAGCGATAATCCTAGTTTGGTATGCATATAATGATGCACAAAGAATGTTCCGATAGAAATCATGGTTACCTATACAAGAGGATCGAGAGGAGTTGTATTCATTCATCAAACTACATAACTAAACCTAAAAAAATTCTCAAAGGCAGCAATTGAGATGATAGGTATAATTGTAGAACTCCAGCTAGCTTTGCGTCAGGAGCTAGCACATGCTGGACTTACTTCACGTTTAGGTTAATGTATAATTTACTACAATTTAAAAGCATTCTACTTTGTTAAATCTCACATGTAGCGACCGACATATATAAGGCATATGTAAGTTAGATTACAGCGCTAAATGAACCAAACCCTATCTATAAAGGACCATGCTCCTATTTTAGGAAACAAAAATAATAATGTAGTTCTTAAAACCACAAATTCTTCAAAGAGGAAGAACAACTTATATTGCTAAAGAATTAATTTAAAAAGAACACTGTCCAAGTAAAAGGTCTTCTCTAAAACAGAAGACTTGTTTAATGTCATCAATGACATCAACAAGGGAGCTAACATTAATCTGACCAATCGTGTTTGTACTTAATAATATTATATTTGTTAATGAGTGTTGCTACGGGGACCTAAAATATGGGACCAATGGAGGGGACATGTGAGGTGTCCCCTCCCTATTGCATAATGAGTTGGCATAGCCAACTCATTATGCAATAGGGAGGGGACACCTCACATGTCCCCTCACTTGGTCTCATATTTTGGGTCCTTAAGTCATTTTTCTTTGTTAATAATTCAAATTTAACTATCAGGTTCAACTTTATCTTGAGTCCATGCATAATTCAATCTTTAATTTCAAACTAACTAAATTTTTACGTGGAAAATTGGCTTATATTGAAGGAAAGATCAATGTGCCCATGTGTTTTCCTTGAAATAATTGATCAGTTAGGTCACATGATCCTGTTCTATTAGGACCTAACTCTTATCTAACTTTGAAACATCTTATAGGACAATATAGTAGCTTTTCTTCATGCATATAACCACGGGCTGGACAGCAAAATAAGGGTAAAATATTATTAGTTGATACTCAGTTTGGGATAAAATGGAACATCTATTAAAGATCAATATAAAAAATCACAACTTCTTTATTGTTCAACATGGGCCCCAGTTGAAAGTCAAACACTGAACTTATATAAGGACTTTTTTTTTTGGTCAATGAAAATTTTTATTCATTACCAATATATGGAAGTTATAATACATCAATGTCTATCTCAAGACTGGTTACAAAATACAGTCTTCAAAACTAAAAATTCTCTACAT